TTCAGGAAATCTCTGAAACTTCTTGCTTCTGGGAGGGTGTATTGGAAAAAATCACTCCCAGGCTTATTGCTGTTATTTCTTTTCCTTAAGCATCTGCTACAGGTTTGTTGGAATTGTTGGAAAGAGAACACTTGTCTAGATGTATCTTAGGTTTGAAAAACAGGGTCATTCTTAACCTCTTGCTGGAACAGATGGGTAGCTGAAACCTAAGGCAATAATGATGACTTTTTTCCCTCTTTGCAAATCAACATTCTCCCACTTGCTTTTTTTTTTTTTTTCTCAAAGGAACACTTAAAATGTTTTTACCTTTCGTGCAAAAAAAGGCATATATTTAGTTGTGACTGCTGTATGAAAAATGACATAAGCTGGATGACAAAAGATGTGTGCTGTCTCTAGACACAAGGAAGTTTGTACCGTGTTCAAAATTTATTTTTCATAGCTGATCACATCCTTATACCTAGCTTTATTGAAATCCATGCCTTAAATGTTTTATGAATGAGATCCAAGGTCTGTATTCCTTTTACCTAAGATTTTATAAATTCCTTTAAAAGAAACCTTATAAATTCCTTAAAAAAACCTGCTCATATTTTATTGAGTTCAAATTTCTCATCCTTGGAGATTTTGGGGGCAATCATTCCTCTCTTTTAGGCATGTTTTATTTGTTGTGCACACTCATAAAATCATAATCTTCCTAACACCAGTTGATAGGATTTTGCTTTTCTCTTGAGGCACTGGGTGCCCTCACAAGCCCTGTCTTCAGGCTGGTGCTTCAAAGAAATCAGATCCCCTTCGATCATAATGAGTGAGGATTATGCTGCTCTGAGGAGGCATCTTGATTCAAATTTCCACTTGGAAACTTTCATATTCTGTTGCACAAAGACATCTGTCTAACCATCATCCTTTGCAATTCCTTAACCAGGTGGTATACACTTATGCAGAGTTGATTGTGGTACCACCAAGCTTTTCCTGGTAATGCACATATACCTAAGAGCTCATGGGCACCACTTGTGAGCCACTTGGGTTGCCTGAAGTCAGTGGTGGGGCGAGGGAAGGCCCATGGGGCATGCTGCACACCCTGGAAAGTTATCCGTTGTTTCAGGGATGAACAGATCCATAATCATGGCTCCATAAGTCAAGGGATGAGCGTTTATCTCAGGCACTGGTGAGCGAGGGGGTCACACTTGCCAGCAGCTGATGTGCCAGCGTGGCTGCCCTGCTGTGAGCAGCTCTCACACCTGCCTTCCCTCCTGGGCTTCCCTGCACTGGGTTTATTGCAGGCTTTGTGCCCAGGGGGGGCTCTCAGGCTCCAAGCTGGAGGGGTCAGGTCTTTCTCTGGACACCACATGCTGGTTGCCTTGAATCTTCTCAGTGCTCATCTCCCAGAGTTTTTTTTGTCTTCATTTTGTGCTATCTTACTGAAAGTGAGGAAATTTTTCCCTTGATAAACTTAGGTAAGCAAGAGCTTTTCAGATTTGTGGGTTTATTCTCTCCAGACAGCTTTAAGCTTTACAGGCTCTATTGTTGATCACAGACTATTTTAAATTTCTTTATAATGCCCTGAAGTACAATTCCTTGAAACATCAAGATTGCAAATACTTAGTTTTGCAAGACACCGTTTGGAAAACCTCTTGCTTTCTTTATCAGGATCAGTCATACATAAATTCAGTGTGTGAGTGGCAATTACTTGTTTGAAGAGATAGTCACATTCAAAGAAATTAAAAATACTATATAAAAAATACATATAGATAGAACCCCTAGGCATAGAATCTCTTAACTATATAATGTGATATAATGTGGTTTTGGCCCATATTGGTTTTGGGTTTCTACAGGCCGTGCTTTTTTCAGCCTTGTTCAGACTGAGCAATCTCTGTGATAATTCTGTTGAAATCCCTGAAATAACTTTCAGAGGATCTGCTTAAGTGACTAAGATGACAGAGCCTGACATTTAGGATAAGATCCAAAGCCTATTGGTGCTGATAAGCATTTTAATATTTACTTCTCTGATGGCTTTATATCAAATTGCTTTGACTTGTGGTGTTTGTGTAAGTGAATGTGGAGGAGATAAGTAATTTCCTTTGAATAAAAGTTGTATTTAAATGTTTTCCTTTTTTGTCAGTATTTTATTAAGAATTATATTTTTTATGCCATTGAAATGATATCTGATTTTATACAAGTGCATCTGTTTAGAATGAATTTGTTTTTATATTATTAGGGGTTTTTTTTCAGAATTGATTTTAGTCAGTGTTGTTATCGGATAAGTCTCACCCAAATTTTTCACTACTCTGTGTGGACTAAGTGGAAAAAACCCATCAGGTAGGGCACTGAACAGCTTGCATAAACAGTTCTTGAGACAACTATATCTATTTTGAGTTCCCAGTAGACACTTTAAATTAGCATGAAAAGCAAGATTATTATGGTTTTGGGTACTTTGATGATCTAAGCTCCCAAGACAATGAATCCCTCTTTCTCAAAGCTTTTTTTAAGATTCCCTCACTGCATAAAATACATGATCTCTCTTCCGTTTCTTACCCTTCACTTCAAACCACTTGAATTCAGAGTAGGCAGATCTTATGCTAAGGATGCTATAACACTTCAAATGGATAAATTCTGGTATATGGAACATATGGAAATTATGGTGAATCATTGAAAAAATGTCCAGCCAGAGGATTATTTTGTGTATCAAAATTTTTTTTAAAGAATCATGACAAATATGATACTGAGGATTTAAACCAGCTGAAAGCAGTAAGAAATTTGCCCCTCTTCTAGTAAACCATTCTCCTCCTGAGTTTAGGGTGCTGTACACCTGTTCAGTGTACTTGAAGGTTGTGCCCTTTAGTGACCCAACTTCATCAAGGAGATGCAGATTAGTTTTGATTTTTCCCAACTCAAAGCTGACTGTGTTAGCTTGGTGACTTAAAAAGCTTTTTTTAAAAAAAATTTGAATAATTAATATTGCACTTAAAAGGATGTTGATCTTTTTGATGCCTACCACTCACTTTGCTTAGAAGATCCCAGAAGGATGTACTAGAAGGGAAGCAGTGCAAAAGTGCAATGTCCCTTTCCTCTCCCACCCACCCTTGGCAAGGGGCTGCTGATCTCCTTAACCTAACTCAGAAGCCTGGATTAGCCTCTCAGTTTCATGGTATCCTTCTGATCTAAGTGTCTTTGAACTTTTTGTAAAGATTTTGGTCATTTGTTCAATGTCTTCTTTCTTACAGAATTTTCTTTGAAAGAAAAATTTCAAAAACCTCTATTTCTGTGGCAGTTTTCACTGAGGCTATTTCAATTTTGCAATACTCCCGCCTTCAGCATCTGATTTTCAAACTATGTTGAATCAGGCTGGAAACAGACATCTGAAGTGACTGCTTAGCAAAATAATTATATTTTTTTCCCAGTGGTCTAGAGTGAAAAATATGCAAATATGAATAAAATGAACTCATTTGGAAGGCACTGAGCTTTAATGAATAGCCATTTATATAACAGCAAAATAAAGCAAATTAAAATTTGTTGTGAACACAAGCTCTTTTAAAAGAACAAATTAAGTGAACATACTGAGAGTTAAATCAAGACACTGGAGGCTTTAATAAGCATGATCTCTGCATGAGAGGTGCTGAATAAAAGAGGAATCAAACAAGATCTTTACAGAATTGGGACAAAAGTATTTTTATTTCTCGCATAACACTATCCAGCCTAATAACAACACATTGAGTTTGAAATCCTACCATAGTACATTACTTGAGATGAAACAGTGAGGAAAATTGATCTGATGCCCATAAACCCTGTGCACAAATTTCCCCAGAAATGGCGGTTTCACTGGAGGGTTTGTTTGTTGACGCTTCATCTATATCTGGAAATTAGCATCAAACTGAATGTTTTTCTTCTCTGCAAGGCTGGATGGTTTTAAAGGGGGAAAAACAGCAATAAGAAAATACTGCAAATATCTGCTTTGTTGTTTTGGGGTTTCCTTCCTTCCTTCCTTCCTTCCTTCCTTCCTTCCTTCCTTCCTTCCTTCCTTCCTTCCTTCCTTCCTTCCTTCCTTCCTTCCTTCCTTCCTTCCTGCCTTCCTGCCTTCCTTCCTTCCTGCCTTCCTGCCTTCCTTCCTTCCTTCCTGCCTTCCTGCCTTCCTGCCTTCCTTCCTGNCTTCCTGCCTTCCTGCCCTCCTGCCTTCCTGCCTTCCTTCCTGCCTTCCTGCCTTCCTGCCTTCCTTCCTGCCTTCCTTCCTTCCTTCCTTCCTGCCTGCCTTCCTGCCTGCCTTCCTGCCTTCCTGCCTGCCTGCCTTCCTGCCTGCCTTCCTGCCTTCCTTCCTGCCTTCCTGCCTTCCTGCCTTCCTTCCTGCCTTCCTGCCTTCCTGCCTTCCTTCCTTCCTGCCTGCCTGCCTTCCTGCCTTCCTTCCTGCCTTCCTTCCTGCCTGCCTGCCTGCCTGCCTGCCTGCCTGCCTTCCTTGCCTTCCTTTCCTTCCTTTCCTCCATCCCTCCATCCCTCCCTCCTTGTTAATGGAATTTAGAGATAACAGTTGTACAACTGTACGACTCTAGATTTTATGTATTATCTCCAGTATCTGGAATGTTAAATATATTTATTTTGACTAAATTTATTTTATTTATTTTTTATTTATTTATTTTATTTTCCTCCAACTGTGGAATTCTTCATTTTGGAAAAAGAGCAAGGGGAAGTCTGCTCTAACCTGTAGGGAAGTTTGTGTGGAATCTGGACATGATACAATTCACTTTTCCCACAGACTCAAATCTCGAGTCTGCTCGTCCAGTTTTATATGGACTATTCTATTTTCCTATTTTATATGAATAAATGAGATAAACTGGCAGAACTCGTGTGCATTGCAGTGCATTTGTGCAGCCCTCACTGAAGGCCTCTGCTGCCTGACAGAAAGCACACTTTTCCCCCTGAAACTTCATACTGGCTTTACACTGGGGTTGGCGCTTCAGAGTGGCACTCCTTGAATTGATTGCATTGCTAATTTTTCATTTCCTGTCCTTTTACAGCTGGAAACAATGAAAATGATGGCCAAGAAGCGGTGAGGAAATTAAAAGAAGAAACTTTGACTGGAAAAGGTACCATATTATTTCCTTTCATTTAAGAAACTACATTTTCTGTCATCTCCTTTTATATGATGTCCCCTTGTGTATTGCTAAACTTTTTTATTAGAATTTGGGGCACCGGAACAGGTTGCCTAGAGCAGTTGTAGATGTCTCCTTCCTGGAAGTGTTCAAGGCCAGATTGGATGGAGCTCTGAACAAATTGGTCCAGTGGAAGGTGTCCCTGCCCATGGCAGGAGGTTTGGAACCAGGTGCTTTTTCAGGTCTCTTTTCACCCCAAAGATTCTGTGACTCTATGAACCAAATTCCTGAAATAAATCTGACTCAAGGGTAAAATGCATAGGATTTTTTTAAATAACTGTTTTCAGCCTTGTTTAACTTCACTGTTTATCACTAGAAAAGGGTTGCCTGCAAGTTACAGTCTGCCTGTGGATGTGTATGTGGATGATATAATAGATGGGAAAAAATTCAAATACCAGTAACTTTTGTTAAGGGGAGGATGACAGCAGGTAGGAGTGTGTGCTTTGTTTCTTCTCCTATTAGGAGCTAATAGGTTTTTGAAAGATCAAGGCTGGTTGACTGGGTTGTTTGACATGTTAAGAGCTTAGAATACTTCGCAAAGTAAAACCAATAAATGGACCTTTTATATCATGCCTATATTCGCACTTTTTTGTGGTTCTCTGTTCTTTATCTGATGATCTATCATGTAGAGGTATATGGTTAGCATAGCTTGATAACTAAGAGAAAAGGCATGTTCCACTCTATCTGCTCTGTGATTGTAATTTGCAGTTTATGGTGGAGGTTAGTGCAGCTCATATTTTTGTCATTGGGTGTAGTTCCTAATGGTGCATGATGATTCATTCCTGCCACTTTGATGTATCATTTCCTGGCAAAATAATAGGGCAGTGTTGCTAGTTCAACATATTTAGGATCTTCATGGCTTCTTCTGAGATCTGATTCGGTTTTTGTGCCTCTAATAATTACTGTTATGATGATCAAAATACATGTTAATTATTGTGTTAAAAAACCTTTCATTAGGATTTATCTTTTGACTTAAATAAATGTGCATCCATTATAGCCTCAGGATACATGTTTGCTAGTTAAAAGCATCATAAATTAAGGCATAGTTAGAAGGATCATGAAAGGAAAAAGGTAATTATTACATCATTAAAATATTTTGCTGGAAGTTTCTGTACAGAGACCAAAACCAGTTGGAATTAATTATGTCACATGACCTGCATGAAGCTGAATAAACCAGGGCCCATCTTATTTTCTCCCTTCTGCTTGATCACAGGCTTTTCTAGCACTCCAACATTTCTAGATTTTTTTAAATAAAGTAAGTTATAGCCCTCAGTTATAAACTGTTAAGATACAGATGTCAGTTTCAGGAAGCTGAAAGTGTATTTAAACTTGGCTGAAGTTGTTCTTCATTGTAATTATTTTGACTGAGGCTTAAGTAATCTCAGGCCCTGATAGGTTTGCCCTAAAAATAATTTGGAAGAGTAGTGTCTTTTCAGAATTTTTCACTGATTGAGAGAAATTTGTATTTACAAGTGCAACATCCTGTACAGAAGACTTGTGCAGAAGTGAATGCCACCTCTGTGTTACTGTGTATCAATGAATTTGCGCTTTGTTTTTAATAGGATGTGTGTGTAGATACTGTGACCAAGACAGGGCTGTGCAAGAGCATCACCTTTTCAAAAGCTACAGTTCAAAATCTGTTTAATCACTGCTTAAAAACATTATTGGTTGTCTTGGCCCTTTTCCCCTACTTTTTCTTTGAGCATTTTTCATGCCCCCATATGAAAACACTGCTTTCCAGAAACTGCTATCATCAGGAACATCAGACTCTTGAAGGAGAACTACTCAAAATATTATTGTTGGGCAGCCAGTGTGGCAAGGATTGGGACAATATAGCTATTATGGACAAACAACATGAGTGGATGCCATCAGTTTGTTATACAGATCTCACATCTCTTAGAACAAAGAGAATCTCCTTTGCTTTTTATCAGGTTAGACAGCAAAAGGGAGCAAAAGACCTTGTCCTCTCCTTGTTGCCTGGCTGAGCCATACATAGCACAAACATCCCCAGAGACAGCTCTGGGAAAATGCCAGGTTTATTGAATGCAAGTAATTACAATGTTTTTAAGGCACTGTCATCCTTCTCTGTCATGGCCCACTGTCTGTCTGGGGCTTTGTCTGGTATCTAAGGGTAAGTAGTTTTACTTGACATAATCTGTACTTACTTCTGGGACAAGTGAGATTCAAAGCATTCACATAAGTAGTTCCTATGAAGCAGCTGATGAGCAATAATGTGCTAACAGTTGCAGAGGAGGATAAAGGACAGTAATAAAAAGGCTATGCATGCAGGTGATGGGATTTTTTTTTTTTTGGTAAAAGCATGGCAAGACATGAAAAAAGGATGGACAGAACTTCTGAATACAGGAAGGCGGTTTCCCATGCTGGAGGCATGGAAAGCAGAGCCAATGCCAGAAGAGAGTAGAGTACTGGAGAGGAAAGCAGTTGCAGCCATTCCCCTACAAAGCAGAGCTGCTAAAGGACTCAGAAAATCTAAGTAATGTAGCACTGCACCTCTTCCTTCCACCCATCCTCTCCCCTGGTGCTACATCAGAAACCTTCTGAATACTGAATCCCTGCTGATTCCAGACTGTTTAAGTTTCCTTCTTGGTTTTGGGCCCCTGTTCTGGGTAACCTAGTGCAAAGTGTAAGGAGGGAGGACTTACACGGGAGTGGAAGTAAATATGCTACAAACCCTTGGGGCATGATAGACCCAGTTAGCTTAACCATCAGAACCTCCTCCATGATAAAGAGATCACAGCCCTCAGATAACCAGAACAGGCCAGAGGTAGTGCTGCATTGTCATTAAAATTCTCACATTGGCACTATTTCCAAAAGACCAAGGGCAACACATTGCTACACCCTGAATCATAAAGCTGGGAGAAGCCAGGATGATGTGGACGTTTATCTTGCTTCCATTTGTTAAATTGAGAACTTGTGTTGTTAATAGTAGCAATTATATGGCTGGGAAAATCCTTGATGGCTCGGGATTGCCTCAGAGACATTCTAATTGGATAAGCCTGTGTAATTTGCACATAGGGTGTGTCTGTGTTAGTGTGTGCCTTAGATCAGTTGCTGCTTTTCAGGCAGCCCTCAGCTCTTGGCTGCTTGCTGAGCACAGGTTCCTATCAGGAAGGGCACTGCAGGCCCTGGCCTGGATTCCCTGTGGACAGAACTAGCCTGGGAGGTGAGTTTCAGCAGTAACAGAGCATTGCTGCATGGGGGAAAACCCAAGAGTTTATCTGAACTAAGCCTTCCACAGACCTGCAACAAGTGCCTATGTCAGGTGCCCAGCGCAAAATGAGTTTCAGAAATGGACTTCTATTGATCCTATCTGCTTGCTAATGCAGCCATAGCCATAGTTACCAGTTGTGAACAAACTCCATTGACTTGTAGAAATGGGAGGTTTCTGTAATAAACTCAACTTTCAGTGATGCTGGAAAAGAATCTCTCTGTTTACATAATAAAGTTATATCTCCTGACTCAGTTACCCTCAGCTTATGTCTCTGCAAATAAAAGCTGGCTCTAGCCTGATGATTGCAAACATACAAATGTTTAAAACTCATATATAAACATGAATGAAAGCTTCATTCATTCCAGCATAGGTTCATGAATGCCAATGGAATCAGCAATTAGCAAAACTTTATGCATAAATATCACATAGAGCAGTACCAAGGGAAAGCTCTCACAACTGGAGTGTAGGAGCTGGAGCTGCAACTAGAGTCAAAGGAGAAAAAAATTAACATTTAGTGAGAAAAGAGGGTGTAAAAGTCATATTAAGTGTAGACCTCTTCAAAAGGAGAAGCCTGCGTTTAATCTCACCCAACATTTTTGCGGCAATTCAAATAAAACCACAATTATAAAACTGCTAGCTAAATTCACAGTGTTCATGATACTTCCATTTGAAGTCAGGTGAGAAAGGAAGAAGAGACTTTCTCCCTCAGAGTCAGAAGAATGCAGAGGTTAGCACAGTGGCAACCAAATTGTGTCATTTACAGTCTGGCCCACATCAAGACAGCGTGGGCCAAATAGTAGGATGGATTGTCTTAAAAACAATTCATGTGCATTTAACATGCCTGGCTTTTTCCCAGAGCTTTCTCTAGAGATGTTTATGCTACATGTGGCTCAGCCAGGGAATAAGGAGATGACAAGGTCTCTTGCTCCCTTTTGTAGTATAACTTTCTAATAAATAAGGATTTTTTCCTTTTTATTAGAGATCTGAGATTGAAGAATTGACGTGAAAGAAGAAGGGTTAATATAGCCAACACGCACCATGTGTAATTACAGAATAACTGGTGGGTGGTTTCTCCACCAACATTTGCTGTATGTCAGGCACCATTTTTAACAGAGCAGTCCAGCTTTTTCTGCTCTGTACCAGACAGTTTGTTGTTAGTTTTCCCTGCAGGCTAGGGGAAGTCATCTGCTGAGTTCCCAAATTCACAAACTTTAAACTTGGTGGTGGTATTCCCAGCATGTTAGTGGGAATTGTCTTCAGCAAAGAGTTCATTTCAGCAAGGACTGACGCCTTGTTAATATGTGAAAAAATGTCTGCCAGGAGTTTTTCTTTCGCATGGCATGTCAAAGATGTCATTATGGAAGTGGTCATCCAACCAGCCAAAAATAGTGGAAAATATTTATATTTGAGACATATCTTCTACAAGTATGCATAAGCATGCATGACTTTATGCTTGTTTGTGACGCTTTTTCTTTTGTGGTGTAGTTTTGAGTTGTAAAAGCTTAACATCCTGGGCTTGTGGCTAGACTTAATGTGGCTACTTTGTCTCTTCTACCACATCCTGCTATTGGAATATCCTTTCTCTACCACTGCTGATGCTGAAAGACCTGTAGGATTGGTTAAAAGAGCTTCCTGACAATAACAGTGCAGTTTCCATCTGTGTGGTTTCTTTCCTCATGCTGGTGCATTATCTCCAGTTCTT